CAAACAAATAAAAAGAAGAATGGTTCGACCATCTTGTAAGAACGCAGATATAAGTTACCCAAAATAGTTTTTCATCTAAGAAAATCTTATATAATATTATGTGTACAAGACATTCAGACTAAATGAACCTGACCAGTGCTGGTTCACCAGCTGTTATCCTGCAAAAGGCAAACTAATTAAAGACTTGCAAAACTCAGATGTGCTAAGCTGAAAGGTACAGATATCACAGTCTAGCTGTAACATACAACATGCCAAGCATACTTTTAACTCTTTCAGTCCCAGTGGGTTTAGTATCAGAGGCACAAGGGGTAGTAAAGAGAGACAAGGATCTTGCGTTCAATGGGCTTTTAGGTAGGAATCTACTAGGGTATGATGCGTTCTTAGGGACTGAAAGAGTTAACAGCAAACAAATGAGAAGAAGAAATGATCTGACTATCTTGTAAGAATGCAGAAATATCAGTTACAATAGAGCTGCTGAGACTATGTGTACAAGACATTCACAAGGAATGACAATAGTCAGTCTCATCTTTCATGTGCTAAGATTACCAGCTGTTCATCCTCACTACCACTGATAGAAGAAAATTGAAAATGAGTTATGAGTTTTAAAAAAAATCTTCTCAGCACTCTGGACACATCTACAGCTGCTCATATTTGGGCACTCTTCTGAATACTGGTCCCAAATTATTTACTGCGAAAAACATCCCTCTGAGAGCCTTAAGAGATTATGTAGTGAAAACATTTAGGTCATCATCAGTTTCCACTTCTGCCATTATTACTCAATGGATAGCAATGTTTAGACGTTAAGCTAAACATCGCAGGGAGGAATAGTTTTCGAGCCATAGAAGTGTCGTATTGCGAAATAGTTTTTGATTCATTGTTCATATTACCCGTGACTTGCCTTGTGGGTTCCACAGCCACATGTTTGAGGGAAAAAAATAATAGCTACACTGCCACCTAAAAAGCATTTTGTGAAAGGCGACTAATTAGGACTTTGCTGAATATTTTGGGGCGTAAGGCGCAGATATCGCAACCTAGCTGCAAACCACACTACAACGTGCCAACCGCCCTTTCAAGGGTTAACGCAAAGACAGAAGATTACCTACCCGTGACATGACCATTGAGCATCTCGCCACCACTACAGCAGGTTAGATGAAAACCACAATACCGAGCGAAAGACCAATATATTGCAGCCGAGCTGTAAACCACAACACAACATCCCAACCGCCCTTTTAAGGGTTAAAAAAAAAGATATCTCCAGGCGGGCATACGAACACTATTCTCCCACGTGACAGGCGGAATACTTACAACTACACCACCCAAGAAACAAAATAAAAATTGGTTTATATTATTTTTAACTACAATACGTTTTGAGGTCCTGAATAGGATTTTTTAAACAGTTAATAATTTGGGACCGGTATTCGGAAGAGTGCCCAGATTTCTCCTTGAAGATATACATGAGCGCCCCAAATGTAAGAAGGTAACATCATGAACTGGTTGGTCTGTGACTGTGCCACAGTCTGCACACTTACAGTCAGTATTATATCTTACTTTAAATGATAAATAATGGTTGTAGCCGAGGCAACAGCTGATTTGGAATTGGAGTATATAAATTAGGAATGCCTATATCAAGTTATTAAAAGTAAAATTTAATAAATAGTAACTCTACTAAATCCTGCTCCCAGATGATGCAAGATTATTTTATTCCATTCCGCATCATTACTGTTTACTCTAGTCTACTGGGGTCTATCCAGCCGCACTGAAATAATTTGGTACTTTTATAGATATACCCATTAAAAAATAATAGAACAGTACACGTTTTGGTATTAAAGGATTTTTCAGAAGTTAAAGCAGCTTAAACAGTTTTATTTTAACACACTTTATAAATCCATCTATATTTTAGTAAAAAAGAGGCAAATGCAAAGGACATATATTTAAGAGTAGGGGAAAGTGAAGATTTAAGAAAGTGTAGTAGTGTAGTGTAGTAGTACTATTACTGTAGTCATTCTTTCAATTTGACCTACCGAATATCTTTTGAATGGTTCTGAGTGGTCGTATTTTCCAGTCTTCAATTGCAGGCATTCTGATCAGCAAAAGAACGTGTTTGTCTAAGTATTTATTAAATTGACACTGCGTGGTAACAGCGACAAACTTTGCTATGCGTGTTGTAAAAATATAATGCAGCAGATGGCGGGAATTGAAGACTTTTTCGCTTTCCTAAACGAGAAGACTTCTCTATAGGGAACTTTTTTTTAACAAAACCATCAATATGAGCTACATGAAGCATAAGCGGGTTTCAAACAGGTTTGAGGAACTAGGGATCACATCTTAAATATAAGAATAATTTTTGAAAAATGCAGAGAATACAAAGTAGATCTTCATGCCTGTTTCATTAATTATAACAAGGCATTTGACTGTTTCCAACATCAGAAACTGTGAACTATTATGAGAAGTATTACTATTGGGTTTCCATCGCATTTAGTAAATTTAATTTAAAATCTTTCTCGTAAACAACAAGCACCCATCAGAGCATGTAACACATCGGATTGGTTTGAGATGCAAACCCACTGCTGGCTGCACGGATTCTTATCATGGTAAGGTTCGTTGCAGGTCTACCGAGCCTAATGTGGGTACTGGGTAAGTAAAGACGGTCGGCGTAATGCTGAACACATTACCCAACTAGTGCCGATTGGTCTGTAAAAATATGGGTGTGCCTAAGGCGTGAAAAGGTATTTTTACTATAAACTTTACTTTATTTATACACTTGCTAGCATGCTGTGAGGTGTGAGAAGAAAAACAAACAGAGAATAATTGGATATTGAGTTGATAGATCGATTACTTTGTCTTCTCTGAGAATGTACCTAAAGGTTTACCATACCATCCTGTGAATAAAGAAATCTCAGCCTGAATGGCCGACAACAAGGCAGATCCCAGATACCCTGTTCAACCTGTAAAAATGTTATATTTGGGTACATGTAACGGCTTCACCAACCAGGTGTAACCTGCAGTTTTTTTCAAGGCGGTTTTTAATCATCATCACCAATTTACACTTCTGCCTCAAAGCATTGTGGCGAGGAACAGTTTGCACTCCATCGCTTGATGTGCTGCGATGGCTACTGTCATTCCGTATCGACGTAGAAGCTCTTTAATGTCATCAGTCCATATTCTCCTGGGACGGCTTCTTGTTTTTACTTCAGATCCTTTCATGCGCAGAAGCTGTTCTGGCTGCATTCTTACTAATTGACCAAACCATTGAATCTTCTGTTTCTCAATGAATTTGCTGCATGGTGTTATTCCTAGTCTGATATCATTTCTCACTTTGTCTCGGATGGTTAAGTTGGCGGCTACCGTTTTAATAAAATACAGATAATACCCCTCAGCCTCCACCCTTTCTCTCTCTCTCTCTCTCTCTCTCTCTCTCTCTCTCTCTCTCTCTCTCTCTCTCTCTCTCTCTCTCTCTCTCTCTCTCTCTCTCTCTCTCTCTCTCTCTCTCACATTTTGAGTTTCTTGATATCCACTCCCATCTTTCCTCATGAAGCAAAGAATGTATCATACATTGTTGTGGGTTTTCTTAATAAGAAATAAATTCCTTCATCAAACCGCCCTGTCAGTCATACTATAAGTAAAAGTAAAGGACCCTTTTCCACACCTTTAGGCGTATAGGGCATATAGGGCTAGACCTATATTTTATAAACCAATCGGCACAAATTGGGTGATGTGGTCAGCATCACACTGGCCGCCTTTAATTCCAGGGTCTGCAGCCGTTACCCACTCAAGGCTGGGTCGACCTGGGAGCCAAGGTCATTTTTTGAAGAAAAAAAAAGTCCGGCTCCGCGAGAGGGAACCCACGACCTTCCGATCCGCGGCGAGCGTCTAGCCGCGCTGCCACGGCGACTCCCAGTCATACTATAATGCTTCAAAAATGTCTGGACAATAAACTGATTGTGAGCGCGGATTTCCTGTGCTCTTCCTTCTGCCTTTTTGAGCTCAAATGCTATAGAAAGATTCTCAGAATTTATTGGACAAAGAAGATGAGAAATATTGACATCTTAAAAGATCTTAACATCAAGAAAGATTGGCTAATAAACAGCATGCTTTCTCGAAAGCTAAAATATTTTGGTCATATCAAGCGCCACGACGGATTGGATAACAAATATAGCAGAAGGCATGGTACCAGGAAGGAGGGGCAGGGGCCGACCGACACGAAGATGGGCACAGGATATAAGTGACTCCTTGAGTGTGAAAGTGCATGAGGCGGGAGAACTGGCGAGAGACCGAGTTTCTTTCAGGCAGACTGTGATGAGAGCGACGTTCTGCAAAGGACCTGCTACATGATGATGATGATGATCCCTTTTGCTGGACACCACCTGAACCTGGTTGGAATAAAAAAAAAATGCAGAGGGTAACCTACAGTTTGTAAACTTCTTTGACATTTTGTTCAGCATCTGCATTCATTTGTCGCGACACTGTGAGCTCGGACCAGGAACAATGATGGACATTCTGTGTAGTTTTCGCTGGCACAGGAACAGAACACTATAGGGTGACCCCTTTGCCATGAGGCTGAATCAGCGCTTATTTGATTACCTGATTCTCGAATCTTTGAAAACCTATTTCCATGAAAGTATGAATAAATTTGAGTTTACTCAAAACATATTTGTCGTACCCTCGTGCAATTTTTTGTTTGAAGCCCAACCCTGGCTTCTGCCGGGAGCCCTGAACGTAGCAGAGCATAGATATGGCCTAGCCATAGATATGGCCTAGCGACTGAAAGGGGTTTCTGTGACCTCTCTACTGGTGATTCTCATCCGCATGGTGGCACTTTGTGTCACCGGGTGTTTATCGCTTGTGTGATGTCCTGATGGGGTATAACTACCTACCTACATGAATTGAGTAAATATTTTCTTTAAGCCGGGAGTAAGTGTCCAGCTACAGATTCCAGAGATGGGGAAAGACTGGAACGACAACAAAGTTTTAGTAGATATGATAGAACAGCAGAAATGCCGGAAGAGATACTTTTAAGTAAAACTAAAAAGTTCAAGATGGAAACGAGCTTCCCTATTCTGGACACTCTAGTCTTTAAACTGACAATACGCGAAGTGCCTTATTCACATTCTGGAATTATTTTATTTTATTTTCCAGTAAATTAAAAAACATTGCTCCTGATGCACCAAAGACAAATATGAACATCTGGCTTTGTATCACAAAAACCTGAATAAGGATAATTTCTTAAATGAATGGGAATATCTCAAGCACTACAAGTCTCTAATTGAAAACTGTAAGCCTTCTTCTGCACTGTGCAGACAAATTATTTTTGATAATTTGAAATCTAGTTTCCCGAATGTTGAACAACATCATGCAGCAAATTCACTGAGAAACAGCAGATCAAATGGTTTGGACATTTAGTAAGAAAGCATTCAGAACAACTATCAACGAAGACGCTACACATGAACAAAAATCGGATGTGAAATCAATAGGTCGCCCTAGGAGAAATGGATTGATGCCATTAAAGAACTTCTATTTGGACACGGAATGACAATAGCTATAGCTGCCCATCAAGCAATGGATTGCAAACTGTTCCTGTCCACAACGCCTAAATGCATAGGTGGAAATCGATTTTTTTTTTTTTAAAAGACCGGTTTTGTTGAAGTGGCAATAAAATTAATATATATTATGTAAAAAAAAACAACAACAACAACAACAACAAAACAACGCATAGTTATCCAGTAGCGCGGTTTTATTATTTTGTAAAAAGCATATCGTACTCGTTGCAGCGTCATGATAGACGGCTTAGGATCTACCGTAGGCTAAACAAATTTTTAGCTCAATATTGTGTTGATGAAGCTCTGCTGCACTGTGGTGGAGGTGTAATGGTGTGGAGAATGATCAGTTACAACACAAGGAGTCACTTGGTACACATTGAAGGAAGCTTGTATGAGTAACGATGCATCAATGACTACTTGTCCTTCCATTTTGGGATGCCAACAGATATCTTTTTCAACAGGACAATGCCGGATTCCATTCTGCAGGTTGACCACACAGTTCTTGGCTGCCATTAACATTTAAAAACCTCCCTGACCATCCCTGTCGGCAGACATGAGTCAGATTGAGCACCTGAGGGATGAGCTGCAAAGACTTGATTGTGACCGAGAAGTTGTTCCAGCCAATGGTAGTTAGCTGTTCAAGTCACTCCAGGAAGAGTGGGCAGCCACCCCTCAAGGCCCACATCAGACATCTGATGGCATCCATGCCCAGGAGATATCAGTCACTGATTCACGCAAGAGGAGGCCACACACCATACTAACGGGAAAAACCGTACGCCTAAAAATTATCGGGACCGAATTGCAAAAAAAAAAAAAAAAAAAAAAAAAAAAAAAAAGAAGCTATGTCAATTGATTAGTGGAACCCTAAGGTATTCTTGTGTGAAATTTGAATAATTTCACCTATAGTTATAGCGTTACAAAGATGTAGAATATCAAAATTGTGAGTATGTATGTTCCTTTCGGTAACTATTTATCCCCCCGCCCCCCTTTTTTTGGACAGTATATTCAATATTATCGACCATTTATGTTTTATAAATTTGGTGACTGTCGTAGGAGCCCAAGCAAACTTTGTCCGGGTGCCCATAATGCTGTTAAGACGTCTCTAGTCCTAGGCGGGTAATGAGTCATTACAAGGATGCGCGGTGAGTGAGTGAGTGACTTTCTACCCCACTAGGACATCACACAAGCGACAAACACCCGATGACACAAAGTGCCACCATGTGGATAAGGATCGCCGTGGAGAGGTCACAGAAACCGCGTTCAGACAATTGGCCACATTTATGGGCTGCCTATATTGCGGTCCCTGGCAAAAGCCAGGGTGGGGCTTCGAATAACAAAAAATTTCGTCCTAAAAAGGACGAAACTGGATTTAGGATGCGCGGTTCTCGTCCGCAGCTTTTATAGTGTCTGTTGTTGGGACATTTTTTAGGCAGCCGAAATAGCACGAGAAATGAATTCACTGGTGTGGCTGGCACTCACATGTTTTCCTCTACTATTTCATTTGGGAGCCGTGGTAGCGTAGTTGCTAACTAGACGTTGCCT